CACACGGGCTTCTGGTGGAGGGGAGCCCGCCCCCTTCCCGTGTGGCAGTCTGTCCCGGCCTCTCCTGGGTGTGTCTCTGCCTCTCCGCATCTCAGCCGCCGTCGGTTTTATGATTTTATTCTTTTGTTTCTTCTTGTTCTTTTTTATTTTAATTACTATTTTTGTTCCATCTCTTCCTTTTTTTCTTCAATTGATCCCAAGGTAGATTTTAAGTAATCATTTAATGTCATTGTACATATTGGTAGAGTCTGCTTTTGAAAATTTGATGACTATTACATTTTTAGTCCTCTGTAAAATATTATGTAAAGTATCTTAGATTATTTCCTCCTATAAATAAGTGGTAGAAAGAAATGTTCTTCCTTCTGTAAAAGCAAAAAATGGATAGCGTCATGCACTTGTTCAAAAAGGAAAATAGTGACAATTCGTTTTCCCCATTTATTCAGTTTTCCATGCCATTTCAGTTACAGAGATAATGCATCTTAAAGACAGGGCCTTACAGCTGTCCAAGAATGCATAAGATTTTAGTCGTAGAGGAATTTTAAAAGAAAAAAGTTACAGTGTCATTAAAATCTTCCAGGACGCATTTAGAGCCTGAGGGAAGCTTCCAGGAAAAAGTGTTCTGAGGAAAATTTCCTCCAAGTTGAGATTAACTTTTCTTTCTAGTGTTTTAATGACTCTGAGTTTTAACCGCCATGTCCTGCTGTCAGCGGCTCTGCCCTGGCCGCCGTGCAGGGCTGTGGTTTCTCTGACAGCGTGTCTGCCCCTTGCTTTTCTCAAAATGAAGCAGTTTTGGGGGAGGGGACATCTCCCCCTCCACCCCCATGAGCCCTTGTGGCTGGGCTGATAATACAGTTGACACAAAACAGACGAACAAATGAAAAAGAAATTGTAACTCAGGCAGTTAAGGAAACAACGCATTTGTGAGGAACTGACAGGACACAGCAGCTCAGTCTTGGGTTCCTGGTTAGTGACGAGCCTGAACAGAGGTTGGGTTTGGGGGGTGTTGGGGCTTCTCCGCCTGAGTCCCCGGTCTCTGGTGATGAGGGCGTCCTTCCACCTCCAGGTGCAGGGAGGCACATTCCACACAAGAGACTCACGCCCTGCTTCCCGGGGGACCGAGAGGAGGGTCAGAGTGTCCCTCTTATACATTTCTGAAGTAACTTTAATTCAGAGGAGTCAGTATGCCGAATACGCCTGGGGGCAGCCTGCTCTGGACCCCAGCACAGTCGCCCTGAGACAACTGACATCTGATTCTGTGTAAAAGTCATGCGGGCATTTGGCTTTTTTGAATGGTATGTTTCATATTTTCTCCCTGGAAGCTACTAAATGATCGTAATTGTTCTAAAATTTCAGAAGAGTCTCAGAAAGCATCTCCATAAGGACACGTTACCACAGAGCACCGTTCCTCAGTGTTTGTGGTAAAGGCTCTTGCTTCGTTTAAGTCACAATTGCTCCATCACCGGCCCTTCGCGCTGAATCAGGCGGGAGGGACAGCCCTGGGAAAATTCCGTGCAGGACCTTCCGCCCTGGTGTCTCTCTGAATGGTCCAGTTGAATGAAAATTCTTATTTTTATCCACCCTTTTAAAGCACACGTTAAGGCAAAAAGACATAATGAAATTAGATAAGGATGGACATTGTTGTCTTCGGGGCATGAAATAGCTCATTTCCGGGTCCGCAGGTCTTGTCTTTGGACTCTGTGCACCAAAATGTCAAGAGAAGTACTGCTTTGAGGCAGGGCTAGACTGTTTCCTCTTATGGTTCCATGTGTGTTTCTGTTTTGCAGTCAGAGAAAGGCTAGAAATTAAGCTTAAACACAGGTAAACTTTGCGTCATCAGAGCCAGGAGGCCCTGCGAGGGCGGCTTCACACTTGCTCTGGGCGGCGCGCTCTCTCTCGGTGCTGATTCAGTTGGGACAGGGCTCTGGTCAGAGCCCCCCGCGGCCTTCCAGCTTGCTCCTGGGCTCAGCAGGAAGGGGGCTCGTGTCCTGTCACTGTCACTCTCAGGAGCAGTGCCCACCAGGTGGCATCTCAGGCTGGGTAACTTTATTTACCGTCGTAACCCTACCGCCGTTAGCTGGGGTGTTTTAAGTACAGAACAAATGTTGCTGAGTATTAGATTTGGGGAGGACACTGGACAAGTGAAGTGACCAACCAAAGATGCTAATACAGAAGCTGCTTTATATGCTCCCAGGGACTAACTGGAACCAAGGAGGAAGAGCTACAGTGTCTACTGTTGAAAAAAGTTAAAAAAAAAAGTGAGCTGACACTCGCCTAAGTAACGGGGATGAGTCAGTGAGAAGTGTTTTGAAAATTTGTTGATCTCCGCCTTCCCTCTAATGAGGTTGGAGCTCGCTGCTGTTCCTGTTTCAAGCATAAGCTGTAGAGCGTTAATGAGTTACTCAGTGTGGTTTATTGTTTAATGTTTAGCCGAATTGGTTAAGAATTGGTTAAGAATGGAGAAACAGATCAACAGCAAAGCACTACAATGAACAAAACCAAGATTACATTCTTCAGGAAGGTTCAATGTTCTGATTTTTAAACCTCAAACTGCCATTTATTTTCTGAACTCTTACAATTCATGGCTGTTAATTTCACCTTTTTGACTTACCAATTTCCATTAACCATTATTTCTCATGGGTATAATTTAAGCTTAACCATCCAGAATGCAACATATCTTTATTACTTATTCTGAGACATTCATCTAACAATATTTTCAAAGATACAAAATTACATTAAAAATAAGCAGAAGAACAAGACAGTGGTAACATTTGGCAGGAAAATTGTTTTAGAAATTTAGAATTAATTTAGAAATTAGCAGTGAATTCGTTACCAAGTCCAAACTCATTCTGCTTGCCATGTGACAGGTCAGTAGATTGGAAGATGAGGTGCTGGGGCGAGGAAGAATGACTTTATTTGGAAAGCCAGAAGATGGAGAAGATGGGGGACTCGTGTCCTTGAGAACCATCTTCCCCAAATCAGAATTCAGGCTCCTTTTATACGAAAAAGAGGAGATGGGGTGATGTTGGTTGTTGCAAACTTCTTGGTGTTGGAATCCTTTGTTCTTGCAGCTGTCCACGTGGGCCAGGTCACGGTGTCCCTGTAAACCTCCAACAAGACAAATGTTATTTTCTATTCTGCAACTTTTTAGTCTTTATGTGAATGGGAAAGTGTTACACCCTTTAAGATCAGAGCCTTGAGAATGGGCTGTCCTGCAGATGTCAGGCTACAAGCGACATTATTTTACAAAAGGTACAGAAGCAGCACCACTGAGCACCGGAAACGGAGCCCAGAGTTAGAGCTAAGGGAACAGACGTGATACAGGGTCAGGTTTGTTCTCCCTGTTACATAACCCGGACAGTCCCACATCCCATGGCGACTGTGATGACTGAAGCAGAGCGTGTCTGTCTTACTAAACTTGCACAGCACCGAAAAGGTGAAAAGGATTTTAAAGGAATCCCCATCTGACCACCCAGAGGCTAGTGCTTTTCACATTTGGGAAGGTCGCTCTGCAGCATTTTGTGCTGTTTTTCTTTATGTGGCTGAGATAAATTTGAATCTATAATTTTACATTCTGCTTTCTTCATTTAACATTAAATATATGCAGCTACTCGTATCATTAAGAACTGTTTTTAAAATAACAAGATAAATTTGCATGGACGTACTAAAATATAATGGCAGTTAATCTAAATAATGACAATTGGTCTTAAATCAATCTTCTAATTTAGGAGCACATTTTAAATACCCCTTCTGCAGATACAATTTTCTAAAGATTTTCAAATGACAAGTATATTTGAATGAATCTGCTGTAAACATGGTGCAATTGTTGGTAATGGAGACATAAAAATAATAATTTTCCTTGAATAAAGTCAAATTTATTTGTTTCCTAGCTACTCAGTGATCATGTGGAAGCGAGAGATAATGTATTAATAGGCTGAGAAAAACACAGTACAAAGAAACCTCATGTTGCAAGTTTAGAAGCGACACTGTTTTAATACTTATGTG